GGGTAACTCTGCATAGGATTGCATTGTAAAATGGCAATCCTAAACAGGTATACTCAGAACCCTACACAAGTCTATTCATTTGGGCTTGCTCCCAGAAAAGTATTCTTAAGGATTGCACTGCAAATGTCCCAAAGCACCTGTTTAGCCCTCCTGTTCTCATGAATTATTCTATTTTGCACTAGTCAGGTTTGTGGATCAAGTATATGGCAGATTAATAGTAGAAACACTGGAAAACACATTCAAAAATCCAATAGGTCCTTCACTGAGGAAACTGCAGTAGCAAAGAGATTATGTGATGGACTTCGTTCCTCATCAGATAACCTGATGATATATCCAACAGGAAAGCTGTGGTTCTCTGGGACCCTATACATGGCCAAACCACCTACAACAAATACTCCTAACTCCAACTTCTAAAGATCTCTAGAATTCACTGGAAATAATATTTGTCTCTGCACATCATGGACTTGGGAGGAACCTTCACCACAGAAAGATAATGGAAGCACTCACATTACCATTGAGTTCTATACTTAATTTCTGAAGCACAGTGAGATAGAACTTAAAGAAGAAGCTGAGCGTGAGAGTTCGCCGGAAGTCCACCATACCACCTGGAGCTGAAGGAGACAGATTCATCTCATTGGCCAGCTTGCAGCAGGCATCCTGCAAAAGCTTTTCTTTCCACTCCCTGCCAATCAATGAACAATCTGTTAACATAAAAACTCCTCCACCACTGAAGCATTTCTCTTTCCCCATAGTCCATGGGATACATGTCCTCAGGAGTGGGAAGAAGCGAAACCAAATTCAGGGGCCCCTGGCCAGGCTGGGGGCCCATGAAGCTGGGCAAGTCATGAGGTTTTTATACAATGTTTGGGTTGGATCTCAGCAGCAGGAAGGGGATTCAAGGGGAGTTGTTGTCCGAGCATAACTTTGGTGGCTCTTGACTGCCTTCCCATGCATCTTCATTGCAACAGGGGTTGTAGCAAGACCAGTGTAGCCAACTCAGGCAGCTATGTTGGCAGAAAGTGTCTCTAATGGACTCTTTTATGCAACATCATTTTTGTTTTCTCATGAGCTCCCACTTTAGTACTATAATGTGAAAGGAGCTTATTCTGCAGCACAAGGGCCTGTCTCTCCTACCTGCCAATGATCTCTTGACAGGATTTAGTAGCCAGCACAGTTGTTGGAGCCATCCCTCCATAGCTCAGCTTAATCTCTTGTACTCGGCTGGTTCCCTCTTGGAACAAGACTCTCATTCCACAGGTCACTATAGCAATATCATCCTCTCGCCGAGAAGCCTGCTTGAATGCTGAGAAATATTCCCCCTAGGGCAAGAAGAAGTTTGTCTTGGGTTCCTCATTTGGATTATAGTGGGATCATTACAATAAGCACATCCAATTAGTCTATTTCAATGGGAAAGTGAGTAGGACTAAAATAGCAGACTCGCTTTTCATTCTACACTATCAAGATATGAAAGCAAAATTAAATGTGTGCAGGGATGGACTGGGATGGAACACTGGGGTCCTTTTTCCTCCTATAGATCTAATTGAAGCTTTGAAGGGGTGATTTAAATAACTAAAGAAGCATGGTAAGAGAGGGTTAAATCTTCCTGTTAATCCGGGGTGATAAACACCCCCTCCCTCAGCAACCTTCCTTATTCTCCAAAGTAGTCAAGTTGGGCTGCTAATT